GCACGGGGGGAGGGGAGTGTCTGGGGGGCCGTGGGGCTGGCTGGCAGGAAGAGGGGATGGGAAGCAGAGCTGGGAGGGGATCGGGGGCTGTGGGGCGGAAAGCAGACCTGGCGAGGAGGGAGGGTGCAGCCACTGGCCGCAGCTGGACCCCAAACGGCCGCTTGCCACTGCTTGCTCCCTGGCCGCGGCCCAGCTGACTGGCATTGGCGCTGCGCCGCTCAGCTGAGCCCCGGTGGGACAGGAAGGGGGGCGGGGCGGTGATGTACATGGACAGGGGGCAGGGCCGTGTACGTCACGGCCCCCGCTTCCTCCTCCTGCCATGGCGCTGAGTGGTGCGCCCCTCAGTTGGGCCACCGTGGGAGAGAAGAGGCGGGGGCGTTGATGTAGACAAAACAAGGACGTCACCAGAAGCAAGGAAATTTTTCCAGGACTCCTTTCATATCGATAGCATAATCTGAGCAAAGGATTCCTGCAAACCTTTCCAACATATTTAAGGTTCTGCTCTAAAGTCAGTTATATTCTCACATGTCTTCAAAAATCCAGAATTACACATATGCCACTATGCATAAGCACAAGCACTAATGTGGTATTTTCAAGATGCACATCCTTGTATACCCAGGAGAACATCGAAGCTGGTTTGTGGAACATTAATTTCTCTCCAGTGGCATATAATGAAAGTGAAATCACTCTCAAAGTCTATTTAGGATTTTTTAAATCATATTTCTTACTTTAAGTAATCCAATTAACTTGAAATGAAGCCCCATCTCGAGGCAGCAGCTAAACAATACGCATTTAATATTTGCTTTTAATACTCAGTTAAAATAGTTTACTGTTAAAGTGTGTTTCTACAGTATTTATGGTCCTATCCATATTAAACTGGAACTATACTGATCAAGCCAAGGATGAAAATTATTAATGTGCTTAATACAGATAGATCTATCTATCTGTATTAAGCATAGTAATTAATCGGGATCCTGAGCAAGGCAGCTTCTGCTAACAGCCCTCCCGCACTTGGGTCTGCCACTGCTGGCGCCCACCACGCTTATATAATTTTTATTCTTCAGCTTATCCTTAGTCCTTGAACAAGTACAACTGGGACAAAAAACAATCCTTAAGGCATGGGCAAAACTCAGTTGCAAGCTTTACACGGTGCCAACCACATGTTGCACCCATTTCAAGCGTGTAACAGTCTGTGCTCCGCAAGAGTTCCTCTTCGAACTCTGTGTAGTGCGCTTCTATGCCAGGGTGGGCAAAAGGACTTACACAGGCCGGCCTGTGGAGGCCCTTCCGCTCCCCCATCCCCAGGCCAATTAGGGCCTGGGGGCGGGGGAGCGCGCAAAGCCTCCTCCCACCCTGCCAGGAGCACTTGGTGCTTTGAAGCGCCACGCGCTGCTCACAGGGTGGGGACAGAGCAGAAGAAGCTATGCGCGCTTCCCCGCCCCAGGTCCTATTTGGCCTAGAGGTGAGGGAGCATGAGAAGTCTCCTTCCACGCCAGGGGCATGGGCACCTTGGAGGAACATGGGAGGGGGCAAAGTCACTCCCTGCCCCCCAGACCAATCCCCCAGACCTGTAAGTATCTTGGCCCCATGCCTTCCTGTGCGGCCAAGGGCCACTTCAAAAATTATTGCCCACCCCTGTTCTATACTAATCCTTATGGCTGCTTTGTGATGATGCAGCAACTAACAGAACCTTATATTTCATTATTAAAAATGGCAGTATAAAGATGTGTGCTTCAAGTCAAGGTAAACATTTTAATTAGGGTTGCCAATTAAAATTACCTTAAGTATTTACAGATTAAATTGATTAAATAAACAAAACAAATCAAAATACATTAACTTGATTAAAAATAATCACGATTAATCACAGTTTTAATCAGACTGTTCGCCAAAAATAGAATATATGATTGAAATTTATTGTAAATAGTTTTGGATATTTTTCTATATTTTCAAATATATTAATTTAAATTAAACACTGAATACAAAGTATACATGGTTACACTGTTTTGGTTTTGAGTACAGTTATGTACCAAAAAAAATCTACATTTATAGATAAATTGTATTACTATAATTGTATGACGTGAAAAGACTGTTTCTTCCATGTATCTTTTTTAAAGTGCAAATTGTATTCTGTGCTATAACTGAAATCAAAATATTTTACAATAGAGAAAACATGCACAAATATTTAAATATATGGTGTTTAAAACTGCAATTCATGAAGATTTCTTTAAAAATCCCACAATTAATCATCATCAATTTTTTAAAATTGTTTGACAGTCCTAATTTTAATAGATCAGATCAAGTAAGAAGCTTGTTTAGTCTTTGCTTGTCTTGGAGCTGGTTGAACAAAACCTTTTCAGGGCTTCTGAAATGTTCAGCTATAAGTCTTTCCAGGGCTGGTTCCTGATCCTGCTTCCAATGTTGTCAGTGGTAAGATTGTCACTGACTTCCATTTTCATATTTCTCCTTTCTGAGGCATTATTACAGACAGGGTTGACAATAGCAATAATCTTGCTTGATAACAACCAGTGAATTATATTTCCTTTCCCTCTGCCCTATCTTCCCATGTTTTCTTTCGCTAAGTCTCCTTCTCCAAAAATCTGAAATTACAGGTTGCACTGGAGAGAAGGACAGAGTAGCAAGGAAGTCAGCCTGCTCCTCTCTGCAAAGGCTTCTCTGCTCACACTGCCTGTTTTCTCTGCTTCCCTTTGCAGTTGTTGAGCATGCTCCTTGGTCTCCAGGGTAACCACAGGCACTAATCCAAGCAAAATCCAAGCTCTACTCTTGCTGTTTCCCTCCCGCATTCTTCCCTTGTGTGGTGCTGCCATTCCCAGAGCTTCAGCTAGAATGAAAGTGCTGATAAGGATCAAGCCGCACTGCTGCCTCCCCCTCTCAAACCAGTCCGTGCATGTATTGCCTAATCCAATAACTAGACTGCCATTCTTCCTGGGTGTGCAGTACAGGCAGTCCCCAGGTTACATGGATCCGACTTACATCGGATCCCTACTTACAAACGGGGTGAGGCAACCCCGCACTAGCTACTTCCCCCCAGCAGACCAGGAAGACGCGGAGCAGCTTTTCTCAGCAGACACCTCAGCTTGAGAATAAAGGACTGAGGGAAGTGAGGTGTGGGAGAATAAAACTGAGCTCTGGAGAAATGTTTGGCTGGAGTTTCCCCTACAATATGTACCAGTTCCGACTTGCATACAAATTCAACTTAAGAACAAACCTACAGTCTCTATCTTGTACGTAACCCGGGGACTGCCTGTATACAGTCTGATTTGAAACCATGTTGAGGTAAATCCACCGTGACACTAGGCTTAGGTTCACATACTGCACATATGCAATGAAAAGAGTTCATTTCCTCCCCCAGCCCCCCATGCTTTAAATCCCCTGAAAGTAACAGCATCAACATTACCACTTTGATTAGTGGATGATTTTCCTATGGTGAAGGTCGACATTTTATTGAGGTTATGTATCCTCCTTTGGGATCTAAAAGAAAAAAAAACATTGAACAATCTCACCATAGTGTTCTTAAGAATTAGTGACAATGACAGTTTGTCATCTTCATCAACACGGGATCTGCTTAGGTTTGGAAATATATAACAGAGCACAACAGATTTCAGAAGAGTCTGACGCAACTTGATTCACAAAGGGCCTGATCCAACTGTCACTCAAAAATCAGTGGAAAGGTGTTAGTTTAGCTCAAGTGAAAGTAGGACGAGGCCCTAAAGCAGGGGTGGGCAATTATTTCTGAAGGGTGGCCACTTCATAAATTTCGGAAGTGGCCCCAGACCGACCCGGAAGGGGCGGGGCCTTGGGCGGCAGTGGTTTGGTTGGGAGCTACCCTATCAGGAGCTTTGCTTGACTTGTGGTCCCTCCCCCCTGACTTCTGGCCAATGGAAGGGACCTAGAGCACATGAGAGGGTGCTGGGGACTAGCCTCCTCCCAGAGGTGTCTGGGGTGGAGGTTTAGAATTCCCATAACGTGGCTGGCAGCTCCTGTCCCCTGCTCTAACTACTTGCCCTGCAGCCACCTGGCAAGCACATGCCGTTTGAAAAGAAGCAGTTGAAAGGGTTCACACCTCCCGGGCAGCTCCCAGGCACTGGGCCAGTGGGATCGAGAGCTGCGAGCCCTTTCAATTGCTTCTGTTTAAAGGGCTTGTGCCTGCTGGGTGGCTGCCAGGCAACGCAGCCATCCAGTAGGCGTGAGCCCCTTAAATAGAAGCAAATAAAAAGGCTCTCATGTCTCTAGCTCCCAGACAGTGAGTTGAGGGCAGGGCCTGGAACTGCCTCACGGGCTGAATCAAAGCCCTAGGCAGGCTGGATCCAGCCTGCTAAGAGGCTTTTGCCCATGATTGAGGTAAAACTCCTTATCAAATAAATGTTGAGGAAAATTTAGAAATGTTTTGAATGATGAAACTTTGCTGTGACTTCAAGAGCTTTAGTGCATTGCAGTATTAGTCGCTAAAATTTAGATGCATCTTAATAAAGAATCACTATAAATCAGAACCTAATCAAGAAATACTTGAGATCTTCTAGGAGACAAGAAAGCCTTTCATAGTCAGTTACATCAGTAGAATTTGAACTGTTCAAACCTTAATACATGAATTCATACAAACAAACAGAAATCAAATCTGAAATGGGCTTCTGCAAATACTTAAAATTAACTCGTTTTCTAGCTCAACCAGCTGTAGAGCGAAAAATAGGATGCGTGTCTCAAAGGAGAAGGGTTCATAGCATATTTGGATATACTGGGTATTAGTATGGTATAGTGGGGGTCAGGGTAGTGTATGCAGGAGGATTTGGATGCTGGAGGAGAGAGGAAAACTGTCATTCCCATCTGTTACTACATGTTCTGTATTTTGAGGTTTTGGATTGTTTTTCTTCCTCCTCTGTTTTTGATGTAGCCTTTACTATTTTCCTCTCTCCTCTCCCACTCTCATATTTATGATCCTTTCCTCATTCTCTCTCTGCATATCACATTCCTTTACTCTCTCAGGGTATGTCTATACTACAAAGTTAGTTCAAACTAACGGACGTTAGTTCGAACTAACTTTCATAGGTGCTACACTAGCGCTCCGTTAGTTCGAATTTAATTCGAACTAACGGAGCGCTTAGTTCGAACTAGGTAATCCTCATTCCACGAGGATTAAGCCTAGTTCGAACTAGCTAGTTCGAATTAAGGGGTGTGTAGCCCCTTAGTTCGAACTAGTGGGAGGCTAGCCCTCCCCAGGTTTCCCTGGTGGCCACTCTGGCCAACACCAGGGAAACTCGTCTGCCCCCCTCCCGGCCCCGGACCCCTTAAAGGGGCACGGGCTGGCTACAGTGCCCGTGCCAGGTGCAATCCTGCCAGCACCCAGCCAGCAGACCCTGCACCTGGCACGGATCGAGCCACCCACCCGATGCCCCCCAGCCCTCCCCCTCTTCCCGGGACCAGGCTGGCGGCTCCTGGGAGCTTACCCGGGACGGCAAGAGGCAGGCACCCGCCTGGGCTAGTGCGGACATCGTGGACCTCGTCCATGATCTCCGCACTAGGCACAGGAAAGTGGCCGGCTAGGGCAGGAGAGCTGCCAGCCTGGCCACCCAGGAGCAGGTGTGCAAGAGAATCAAGGGGGTCCACTGAGACCCCCGACCCTGAGCCCTGAGCTTACAATGGCCGTCCTGGGTCAGACCAAAGGTCCATCTAGCCCAGTAGCCTGTCTGCCAACAGCGGCCAACCCTAGGAACTCTGGAGGGGATGGACTGAAGACAGTGACCAAGCCATTTGTCTCATGCCATCCCTCTCCAGCCTTCCACAAACCTTGGGCAGGGACACCACTCCTACCCCCTGGCTAATACCACTCCATGGACCCAACCTCCATGACTTGATCTCACTTCCCTTTAAACTCTGTTCCAGTTCTAGCCTTCACAGCCTCCTGCAGCAAGGAGTTCCACAGGTTGACTCTTTGCTTTGTGAAGAAGAACTTTCTGTTACTAGTTTGAAGCCTGCTACCCATTCCTTTCCTTTGGTGTCCTCTAGTCCTTCTTTATGGGAACTAATGAAGAACTTTTCTTGATGCACCGTCTCCACCCAACTCCTGCTTTTAGAGACCTCTATCCTGTCCCCCCTCCATCTCCTCTTTTCTAAGCTGAAAAGTCCCAGTCTCGTTAGCCTCTCTTCATATGGGACCTGTTCCCAACCCCTGATCATTTTAGTTGCCCTCCCCTCTCCTACCCTCTCTCTTCCCCTCTCCCACCTCCTTTTCCCAGTCTCCCCCAGTTTTGTTCAATAAAGACAGATTCCATTTTGGAAGACACGTTATCTTTATTTTGTACATCAAGAAGAGGGGCTAGGGAAGGGGAAGTGGAAGGAGATGAGGGAGGAATGGGGCACGAGCCCCCGATGGGGAGGACTGGTCTGGCTCTGCGAGCTTCTGGGGGTGGAAGCTCTCCTACAGCCCCCCAATTGTCCCCTCTCCCCAGATGGCAGCCTGCGGCAAATGCAGCCAGTCTGATGGCCGAGTGCTGTGATGTGCCCAGTGTGGGTAGTCCGGGCACTCCAAGCCAGGACTGCTTTGCAAGCGGGGCACCCCTGAGAACTGTCTGTCCGGGGTGGGGGTCGGGACCCTTTAAGCCCAGCCCTCAGCTAGCCTGAGACAGCATCTCCAGCTTACCCGGGACCGCAAGAGGTGGCTCTAAGTCCTCCTCTGATGCCCTGCCGGCACTGCTTCCGGCCATCCTTAACCCTGGTTCAGAGTCCACTTAATGTGGACATGCTAGTTCGAATTAGCAAAACGCTAATTCGAACTAGTTTTTTAGTCTGGATCCGTTAGTTCGAATTAGCTTAGTTCGAATTAACTAATTCGAACTAAGTTAGTTCGAATTAATGTTGTAGTGTAGACGTACCCTCAGTCCTTTGTCTTCCCCTGGATTCCTTCCATTCTGTGTACCTGATCCATCACTTTCTTATGCTAGTTTTACACAGATGTAAGCGGACAGTGAATCAGGACCTATATGCAGAGAGGCTGTTTCCTGAAAGACTTTATATTAGAGGGCTGGGTGGCAACATATTAGGACAGATCTAGGATAATCCCTAAGGGTAGGTCTTCACAGCTGTTGGGAGCATGTCTCATAGCTCAGGTCAACCCCAACGCACTAGTGGGGCTCTCAGTAAAAATAGCTGTTAAGACATTGCACTGACATTATGACTTGGACTGAAGCTCAGGCTCTAAAGTTCACCCCACTCCTAGCTCCAGCCCAAGCCAGACTGTTCACATTGTTATTTGCAGCCCAGTAGCCTGAGTCTCTCTGTCCAGACTGCAAAACATGCTCCCAATAGCTGTGCGCACATACCCTCTTGTGCCAGTGCTTTTTTTGTGACAATGCAGCTCGGAATGCGTACTGTCACCTGTTTTCCCAACACATAGTAAAGGAATGGTATTTCTACCTGCACTTACTGGCACCTGTTTTCCTGGTGCTGCTTGTCTCCTGACAGAAGCCTGCTCAGGAAACAAGGCAGGTTTTTTTCCCGGCATGGCATTTTGGCTCTTAAAGGGGATGCGATCGCATTTTTTTGCTCAACAACTCTTTTCCTCTTTTTTCCCCCTTCCTCAACATGTTTGAGCCTGGAGTACCCGCACCTTTTTTCTTACAAAAAAAAAAGCACTGTCTGGTGCCATCCACTGCCCTGCAGTTACTTCAAGTGTCCAGTTTGCTAGAGCTTACAAGAACCAGGACAAAGTGGTCGTCTGTAAGAATGACACAGAATTTCCCTGAAAACAGTGATTGATATACAGTTACCATATTTATTTATACAACCTGAGTTTGATGTGATTGGACAACCATGTTGGCTGTAGGACGATGGCACTCTGGGTGAATTTGCATATTGGTGCCTCTGGCCCCATAGCCACGGTGGCCTCCCCCCCATTACTCCGGGTCCACCTTAAGCTCCCAAGGCCTCCCACCCTCCCTTCCCCCCAGACCCTGCACCTCCCTCCTGTGCCCTAACCCCTGCACTGTGCCCCCTTTGCTCCTAATGCCTGCAACTCCTTCCAGTGCCCCAGCCCCAAGACCCCCTCCTGCATCCACCCCTGCACTGTGCCACATGGGGAAACTGGCCCACCAGGATACACATAGCAGCTTGGCATTGCTACTTGCTCCCATACTGGACTGCTCCTTCACCCCAAGCAGCCCAGGGATGCACCAGGAAAGGGACAGAGCACAGCTCTGAAGCCTCAGCACCATCCAGGTGGGGAAGTGACCTGAATGCAGGGAGCCCTGGTGTTGTGTGTTGGCAAGGGAGAGTGAGAGAAAGAGAGGGACAGAGTGTGCACGCCTGAGTATATGAGCGTGCTGTCTCTTTAAGAGAGCAGTCAGGGTCGGGAGCTTATAGTCTTGTGTTCAGACTCAGGCTACTGAGAGTGGTTCCAGCCCAGGCCTCCAGAGAGGAAGCAGCACATCAGACCCCCCCACAGGATGGTGCCAGTCCAGAGTGATTAAGGTGGCTCTGAG